CTCTCATCAATCGGGATTGATGAGGTGGTTGGGGATGAAAAGGGGACCCTATTCACCATGCAGACCTCGATTGTCTGAAGATTTGACGGTTGAAGTTACTAAGTAATCTCGTGTCATGGGGTATCATGTATATCTTTTATTGAAAAATTAATTAAGGGTGCTATCTTCAGACAGGGTATGTCTCTCTTCAGTTGGGCTTCATAGGGTGGTACGGATACAAAGCTGACTCTATTCACCGTTCGGATCTTGATTCTCTAGAGATTGGGCCGTTGAAAATTAAAAGGTAATCCCGCGTGGTATCTCAAAATATCCTTGATTTAATAACTCATCAAGGAGAGTAGACTGTAGCGGGACTGCCTGGGTGGCAGATCTTGCATCACTCGAGGCTTCCAGGCCGAAGGACAATGCACAGTGGAGAAGGGAAGAAGGAAGAAGAAGGTGGAGATGGAGATGGAACTGGAGGGAGACAACACACAGCATCAGCAAGTGACTCACACTAGATGGTACTCCAAGAACACTCCAGCGTAGAATGAATGACCCTACCGACTGCTGCTGGGGTGGCAGATCCTGTGACCGTGGAGAAGGGAAGGAGGAGGAAATGGGTGGAGATGGAGGTGGAGATGGAGAGAGACAACATACAGCACCAGCAACTGACTCACACTAGAYGGTACTCCAAAAACACTCCAACGTAGAATGAATGACCCTACAGATTGCTGTTGGGGTGGCAGATCCTGTGACCGTGGAGAAGGGAAGGAAGAGGAAATAGGTGGAGATGGAGATGGAGATGGCGAGAGACAACACACAGCATCAGCAACTGACTCACACTAGATGGTACTCCAAGTGTTCCTCCAGCTTAGAATGAATAACCCTACAGACTGCTGCTGGGGTGGCAGATCCTGTGATCGTGGAGAAGGGAAGAAGGAGGAAGAAGGGGGAGATGGAGATGGAGCTAGAGAGAGACAACACACAACACCAGCAACTGACTCACACTAGATGGTACTCCAAGAACACTCCAGTGTAGAATGAATGACCCTACAGACTGCTGCTGGGGTGTACCCCAGCGGACTGACTGGACTGTCGGAACGGCTCCGACCGTGGTACCGTACGAAATGACTAAACGGCCTGTCAGATCAGGCTGACGGCTGGGTTCCACAGGCTGAACCAAGAAATAGCCAAAATAAGCCCCAGCTATAGGCCTGGCTATAGGCCGGACAAAATAGAGCACCGCTGCAGTAGCCTCAGGCACGGGGATGCCTCTTGTCAATCGGGCTGAATGAGGTGGTAGGAGACACAAAGGCAACTCTATTCAGAATTCAGATCTTGATTGACCTATGATGTCAAAGACAGCGTTGCAAAAGCATTACCAATCAACAGCAAGCGAGTAAAAAAAAAAAAAAAAAAAAAAAAAAAAAAAAAAAAAAAAAAAAAAAAAAAAAAAAAAAAAAAAAAAAAAAAAAAAGTCGAGTAATACTCGCTGACAGATGAATTGTTTACGTTGAGAGCTCTGTTAATGTGGAATTTCAAACTATACAATATACAAGGTTAATGAAACATACTCATAATTTGTATTAAATTACTATTAAATAATAAATTATTAATTGAATTTAATTCAATATTACAACAACAAACTAACAATTAGCATGGAAAAAGAATTCAAGCAAATGAAGGACTGTTCAAACTAGAAAACGAAGTTCTGCGGGGACGAAGTCCCGCAAGCAAAGAGGATTGGATTTATTTCATGAATCTGGAGGTGCGTTTGGAGAGGTGCAGAAAATTGCGGTTGATCTGCTGTTCTGCATCTCTGCATAAAACACATCCAGATGCAGGGGCTCATTGCCGCCCAATCCAATCCTCTTTCCTAGTGGGACCTTGCCGCTGATGCTCTCCCAAATAGAAGTGTGTTATTTCAACTTTTAACAACTTTTTTTTTAGTTTTTTCCAAGAAAGGAAAGGTCTGCTTGCCTCTGATACTTCGGTTGGAACCTCTGAAAGGTCAGTGTCTGCCATGTCCATTGCAGAGCCTGCACAACACACATCACACACACCATCACAGCACAGCGGCAATCAGATCCTCTTGTTCTGAAAGATCGGCTATGGATAGCTAATCTCTTTTGGCTGTGTGGATAGTCATCCTATGTTGGCTATGTGGAAAGCCAACCTCAGTGGTGGCTATGGATAGCAAACCTCTATTGGCTCTGTGGATAGACAAGCTCAGCAGAGGCTGGCTATGGATAGCCAACCTCTATCGGCTATGAGGAATAGCCAACCACAGCTGAGGCTGGCTATCGATAGCCAACCTCAGCAGCCTCAGCTAAGGTTGGCTATGGATAGCTGACCGCAGCTATGGATAACTAACCAAAGCTTGCCAACCTCAGTCGAGGCTGGCTATGGATACCGTCTTCCGCCGAATGGACCGTATGGTGACTAGAGCTGTATTTGGGGCAACTTTGTTTCTAGATACAACAATAATGACCGTACGTTCTCCGGCAAAGACGGTAGCCAAACCCAACCTCAGCTGGGTTCTCTATGGTTAGCCATAGCCATAGCTAACCTGAGCTAACTTTGGCAGGCACAGTGTGTGTGTGTGTGTGTGTGTGTGTGTGTGTGTGTGTGTG